ACACGGTGGGGACAGGAGGGACAGGGAGGGGACAGGGGGGACAGGGAGGGGACAGGGGGGACAGGGAGGGGACAGGGGGGACAGGGAGGGGATGGGGGAGCGGGGCTGGGCCAGCCCGACGCTCCGGGGCGGCGGGAAGGGGGGTGTGGAATGCCGGCCCTGACAGCGCTGTGTGTCCCCCCCCAGCATGAAGAGCCCGGCCGTGGTGGGCGTCCTGTGCACCGACTCGCAGGGGCTCAACCTGGGCTGTGAGTGGGCAAAGCGCGGGGACCCTCCGAGGGCTGGCGGGGTTTGGGGGGCACCGGGGTTGGAGGTCTCGTGTCTCTCTGTCCCGCCTGGGGGCTCCCGGGTGGGGAGGGGGGCAGGTGGTTCTACCCCGACAGGGTCCCCCTGGGTCCTGCCGGGGGCTTCTGCGGGTGTGAGGCCCCGGGTTGGGGGTCCCCCAAACCCTCTAGGGACTCCGCCGGGGTGGGGGGAGGCACCAGGACTGGCCCTACAGGACCCCCCCCACCCCGTTTGGGGGTACCTGGCCTTGTCCTGCGTGAACCCCACTCTGGGGACACCAACCCCTGCCCTGCTGTCCTGGCCCCACCTTTGGGTGTCCCTAGGGGGCCACCACCCACCTCAAATTCGAGACAGTTTCGGTGGTTTGAGTTCAGGGAGACGCCACGGGGAAGGATCACAGGGAGGGGAGTGGGATGAGGAAGGATCAGTCCCTCTTTGGCCTGGGGGAGGCAAACGGGCTTCACACGTGTCGCCCCCCCCGTTCAGGCCGAGGGACCCTCTCGGACGAACACGCGGGGATCATCTCCGTGCTGGCCCAGCAGGCGGCCAAGCTCAGCTCCGACCCCACGGACACGCCCGTGGTGTGCCTGGAGTCGGACACCGGGTGAGTCCCCGGCCCGGTTTTCCTTTCCCCCAGCCCTGGGAGCCTCCCGGAGCAGTCAGATCCCGGGAGCAGCTCCCGTGGGAAGCCGCGGGCACGGGGCGGGGGAGGTCGCTGGATTGACGGGATTTGAAGAGGGAGGAGTTGTAAAAGCAGCAGGAAAACCTTTGGGGGAGGGGGGTGGTTCCTGCTTTCTGGTGGTTCCTTTTCCACGCTTGGGACCCCCGTGGGTGGCTGAGGCGGTGCCGTGGGAGTCACTGTGGCGGCAGGGACGTCTCCAGTTCCCAGAGTGGGAAGGGAGGCGGGGTCTGGCTTGAACGATCCCGGCTCCAGTTCCCACCCCCACCAGCTCCTCCCTCAGCACTTTCCCCATTGTTTTAGGAACATCATGATCCAGAAGCACGACACCATCACCGTGGCAGTGCACAAGTTGGCATCCTGATCACTGGGGACCAGCTGCACTCCCAGCTCCTCCTCCTCCCCTGCACAGCCCTGCACTCCAGCCCCGGTTTGGAACCCCCCCAGAGCCAGGAGGAAGGCTCTCCCTCTCCACTGAACAGCTCCTGGGCAGCTCTCCAGGTCTCCCAACTCCCACTGTAGCCCTCGTGGTGCTGAGGGTGGCACACGTGGTCAGATCCCACCAGGTGTAATTGTGTGTTGTTGGTTGGAGAAATCAATAAATGACCTGTAAAAAAAACCCAAAAACAACCCCCCCCCCCTTTGCTTCTCTTTGCTGGGCCTGGTGCTTCGTTCCCAAAGCCATGTGAGGTGACTTTTCCCACTCCCTTCATTAGCATTTCTCTGGAGAAGAGACTGGGATTAATGGGGGCTCCTCCAGCAGGAAAGGTACAAACACTTCCCAAGGAATTTCTCCTGGGGAACACTTCACCTCCTCGAGTTAGAACGTTCTGTGGGAGGATTTCTTGTTCTCTCGTTGCCTCGGATTAAAGGCTGGACATGCTGTCCCTGTGTGAGCTGGAAATGCATGTTTGGCAACATCCTCACAAATCCAGACCCCGGATCTGAAATGGTGCAGGGAAAAAATCCTGCAAAGACGGCCTGGGAAGCTGCTCCACTCCTGTGCTTCCCACGTGGCAGGGAGGGAAAAGGAGCTGGGCTGCAGTGCAGGGAGGGGGAGGGAAGTGTCCCAGCAGAGCATGAGGTGAAAATTGGGCTGGGTCAGAGAGAAAATGACATTCAGGCTGCTCTGACCCGACTCCAATGACTGCTCCCTTCAGCAGTGACAGTCCCAGCCTGACGTGGAACAGGCAGGAGGAGCCTCTGCCTGGCTGAGTCCACACTCCTGTCCAGCTCAGTGTTGATTCTCAGTAAAGCCCTGAGATCTCTGCGTGCCCAAACTCTGTCCTGGCCTCGAGGAGTCCTTCTCCACTCTCCCCACATCCCACCAAGGAGGAGCAGCTGGAGCATTTCCCCCTGGAATTCCAAGAGCTCTGAGTGCAGACGCTGCCTCCCCCCTCCCCCAAGCCCTTTAACCACCCTCCCTGCAACCCCCACCCCACGGAAATAAAGCTCAAGACAAGTACTGAAAGCCTTCCCACAGGGAAAGCTCACAGACTCCCGTGTTTCCTGGGCTCCTCGGGAAAGATGGAGCTTTGCCAAGGGAGGGGGCAGACAGAGATCAGTGTCAGGGTCCCCACAGTGATCCCAGTTTTCTCTGGGCTCAGGAATGCCGCCTGGGGTGACAGGCCAGCCCCCAGCAGGGCAGGAAGCACGAGGGCCGTGTTTATCCAGGAGCTGGGGCGCATTTACAGGGCAGCCAACGCCGATCCTGCTGCCTCCCAGGGCTGCAGCAGCACAGCTGCTCCATCCAGCTGCAAACTCCCAGATTTTCCAGGCTATCCCCTCCTAAACGACAGTTTCCCAGGCCAAGGGCTGGGCAGGACTGGCAGGGCCAGGCCTGGATCCAGTCCAGCACTTCCACCTCCCGCTCCCTTCTTCCGGCCACATCCAAAGCCTTCCCTGGAGTTACAACCTTTGCAGGCTTCCCCTCCTCTTTCCCAACAGGATTTCTGCTCCAGACGCCCTGGATTTCCTGCTCCCAGCTGGGGAAGGGGAGGGACTCTGGCCTTGTGGCCTAACAGGAGGAGGAGGAGGAGGAGGAGGAGGACGGGCTCTGTCACTCAGCCCCAGGGACTCCATGTCCTGCTCTGGGGGACAGACACCATCCTCATCCTCTCGGGGATGCGAATGGAGGAGCAGACTCTGGGCTGCCAAGTCAGGAAGGGGGGATTTGGGCTCTGGAGCAAATGAAGAGATGATTCCTCTTTGCCATCGACTCTTTTAGGGAGGATTTTCCATCATGAGGCAGCGAGGAGGTAAGGAAAGGTTTCAGGATCATCAGCCCCAGCTGCTCCCTGGGGCAGGGTCCTGCCTCTGCCAGAGAGGATGGAAGGGAGACAAGCAGAGGATGGGATCGGGAGAGCTCCCCAGGGGCTCAAAACTGGATCAGACAGACGTGACCCCCTCCCCGACTCGGGGCACGAAGCAAACCCCTGGAGCTGCAGAAGTGCTCCACTTCAAACCCCTTAAGTGGTTACAGTAACTTGGTGGGAAAGAGAAAGGATGTTAAACTGTTTCCAGGCAGGGATAATGTGTAATTTAACACCCTTTGTCAAGAAAAGCCGGTGGATCTTCCCCCCCCCCCACCACCCTCCAAACTGAAGGTGGAGTGGAACAGGGGGAACAGCACCGGGGGGAGGTGTCAATGTGTCCCGAAACTGCCGTTCCAGGGGCAGGGAAGGAGGATGAAGAGCCCGAGGGAGGTGGGAAGAGCCGGCGGGCCGGAGCAGCGCTCGGAGGGTGGGCCTGGGCAGCGGTGCTTCACTTCTTCCTGGTAAGCACAGAACAAATCCCACTCGTGATCTGAAGGGAAAAGCCTCAAATCTCACTCAGAGGACAGGGTCAGGCTGATCCCACCCAGCTTCACCCTTCCCTATGGAACGGCAGCTGCAAACATCCCAGGGAGCAAACTGCCCCTGGGAGCACCAGGCACCTCAACACCACTCAGAGGCACCAATTCTCCATTCCACGGGCTTTAACACCACACAATCTTCCCACCAGTGATGGATCAAGGAATCCTGAAGGCTGGAAAAGATCTTTAAGGTCATCAAGACCACCACCCCCCCCCCAAGCTGGGAAAGCTTTCCCCAATTCCACCCCATCCCAAGTAACTCGCTGCCAATCATTAACCACCTGCTACCAGGGAGGTGAGAGGGAGTTAAAATTAAGGACACAAAGTGTGTGTCCTTTGCTCCCACGGCAGGGCAAGCCTGGGAAACTGCCCTGGATAACATCCATCCTGCTCCTCTCACCCCCCTCCATCGACTCCCAGTGATCTTCAGCAGCGCCAAGACCCATTTCATTGTTGCTTCAGGATTAAAAAGTAACTCCTAGAGCAAAAAACATCCTGGAAGAGTTGGGTTCTGGTGTGATTTTGTTTCTTTTTCTTGAAGAGGAGTTTGCAGAGGGGTTTTTGAGGGCCTGTTAAGATGGAAGTGCAGCGTGGCCGCCACGAGCTCACCCTGCTGACATTCCCCACCACCAGTTCAAGTGTCCCGTAACAAACTATCCCCACAAGAAAAGCAGATAGAAAAGCTTTTCCTCCCTCCTGCTCCCCCGGGGGCCCCTCACCTCTGTCTGCTCCTGCCTCTCAGGTCAACGTCCTCGTGATGGGGATGCTCAAGACCTTCGGGATTTTCTTCGTGGCTTTCCAGGAGGACGTGGGGGGCTCCTCGGAGCAGGTCAGCTGGATTGGCTCCATCATGTCCTCCCTGCGCTTCCTGGGAGGTGAGCTGGCATCCCCAAGGATTTGGGGCAGCGCTTCAACCCCAGCACGTTTGCTTTGAGGGCACTGAGGGTGTTCTTTGGATCAGATTCCCTTCCCAGACTGCTCCAGGCTGGACGTGGCCGGTGCCCACACGTGTCTCAGCAGGGATGTGATCCAAAGATAGGGCTGCATGTCATTTAGATGGGATATTGGGAAGGAATCCTTCCTTGGGAGGGTGGGGAGGGGCTGGGATGGAATTCCCAGAGAAGCTGGGGCTGCCCCATCCCAGGAAGTGTCCAAGGCCAGGTTGGATGGGGCTTGGAGCAACCTGGGCTGGTGGGAGGTGTCCCTGCCCGTGGCAGGGGGTGGAATGGGTTGAGCTTCAAGATCCCTTTTGACCCAAAAAATCCTGGGATTCCAGGGTTCTGGAGCCAGGCTGGGAGAGCTGGGGGTATTCCCCTGGAGAAGGGAAGGCTCCAGGGAGACCTTGGAGCGCCTTCCAGTGCCTAAAGGGGCTCCAGGAGAGCTGGAGAGGGGCTGGGGACAAGGGCTGGAGAGACAGGACACAGGGAACGGCTTCCCGCTGCCAGAGGGCGGGGATAGATGGGACACTGGGAAGGAATCCTTGGCTGTGAGGGTGGGGAGGTCCTTCTGTCACCTTCAGCCTGAGCTTTGTGCCTCTCTCCCTTGCAGCCCCACTCGTGGCCGTCGTGTGCCGGGGGCTGGGCGAGCGTCTCACGTCCCTCCTCGGGGCCGGGCTGGTGGCTGGGGGGTGCCTGGTCAGCACTCAGGCCACCAGTGTCCCCTTCCTCTGCATCTCCATGGGAGTCCTGCTGGGTGAGCAGCCTCTGACACACACATTGCCCTGGGCCACCACCAAGGAATCAGCTCCTTTAACCATAAACCTTGGGGGGAGGGCCCGGAGGGGAAGCTGAGGGCACACGGATTGCTCAGCTGGAGGAGACAGGTCAGAGCTCAGGGGGGGTCTGCAGCTTCCTCAGAGGGGCAGAACCACCTCTGCTCTGTGTGAGCAGGGACAGCATGCAGGGAAGGGCTGGAGCTGTGCCAGGTTGGATCTCAGGGAAAGGTTCTTCCCCCAGAGGGTGGTTGGCACTGAACAGGCTCCCCAGGGCAGTGGGCACAGCCCCAAGGCTGCCAGAGCTGCAGGAGGGTTTGGACAACACCCTCAGGGACAGGGTGGGATTGCTGGGGTGTCTGTGCAGGGCCAGGGCTTGGACTGATGATCCCTGGGGGGTCCCTTCAACTCAGTTATTTGTGATTCTGTAAAACCCCGAGTGGCAAAGCACCCCCAGCTCCTCCCTACGAGCTGCTGTGCGAACCCTCAGCACTCCATGCTCAGGAGAATAAAACACACTTTTAACACACTTAGTCCCAGCTAACCCTGATTTTTTTTTTTTTTCTGGCTCCACTAAATCCTGACCTTTTAAAACCCCCTCACTAACAGGGCACAGCCTCCAACCCCCCCAGACATCAACCACCACACACAAAACCTCTCCACTGAGACCAGGAGAAACCCCCCAACTTCCCACTAGGAACACTGCACCCCAGAGACTCAGCGTGGCATGACTGAGAATTCCAAGAGTTCCTGGTACTTTTTTTGGGGGCCTAGAGAGAGAGAGAGAGAGAGAGAATGTTCTTTCTGACCTCCCCCCCAGGGCTGGGCTTTGCCTGCCTGTACCAGGCGGCCGCAGTGATGACGGCCAAGCGCTGCCGGGCACGCTTGGGCTTCTCCAACGCCGTGGCCCGCTCTGGGATGGGGCTCACCTTCCTCATGGCACCCTTCACCCAGCTCCTCCTCGACTTCTATGGCTGGCAAGGTGAGTGATCTCCTGTTTGCCCTCATTTATCAGCACCGAGAGGGTGATCGGGGAGGTCTGGGCGAGGGGAAGAGGCTCCTTTAAGAGATTAAAAATTCAACAGCTCTGCCTCTTCGAGGATGGTTTGGGGACATCTTAATGATTAAACACCTAATGACTAATTAAAATCAGAGGCAAAACAGAGAACTGAAAATCCCTGCTTTTACTGCAGTTTTGGGCCATCCTGAAGGTCCCTCACGACTCCTGCTGAGGGTAAACAAAACAAGCTCCCAGATCCCAGAGGCAGCTCTGGATCTGCTGTGTGCATCAGAGCAGAAAGGACTTCCAGCCAGAAAAACCACGAATCAAACTTCCTGTTTTGTTACCTCCCCCGTAAAGAGGGGGGGAAAGTCTCTCTTAGGGCAGACTTTCTGCATGTTCAGTGCAAACAGCCTGCTCTAAAAGCTCATTTTCTGCTGTTCCTCCTTCTCACTCCAAGAATAAAACAGCTCCCCGTCTTCCCTCAGGAACTCTCCTGATTTTTGGAGGCATCATGTTGAACCTGGTGCCCTCCAGCCTGTTGCTGAGACCCATCAGCACCCGACCCTCCTCTGCCAAAATCCAGGACTGCGCGTCATCAGTGACACAGAAGGACCCAGAAACTGCTGATGGATGTTCAGATGGGACCCCTCACAGGGAATTACATCCTGTACAGGAGCTTCCCACCACAGACACACTCCTGATGCCCCGTGGCAAAGGTGCCTCTGGTCCCATCAATCCACCTGCCTTGGGAAAGCTGGAGAAACACACCCCGGGCAGATCCTCACCAGAAACGGCCACCGAGGCCAAGAGAAGCCACAAACCCCTTCCAGCAGCCAAAAAAGATTCTCAGCCTCTCCTGGACTTGTCCCCACTGAAGGATCCCCTTTTCTTCATCTTCACCTGGTCTTTTCTGTTCAGCCACTTGGCCTATTTTGTGCCCTTCTTTCACCTGGTGGCAAGAGCCAGGACCCTGGGAATGAGCAGCATGGATGGCTCCTACCTCATCTCAGTGGCTGGTAGGCAAAGGAATCTTTTAAACCCATTTTAGGAGAGAAAACCAACCCGAATTTTGCCCAGAAATAGTCCCAGATGTGTCCTAGGAGGAATCCTCATGGCAGAGGTTGAGCTCACAGCCCTGATCCCTCTGCATATTCAGGATCACCAAGATGGGTGGGTGGTTCTTCCAGTCCAATCTGGATGATTCCCCATCCTCTCTGCTCCCAAAAAAATCCACAATTTTCCAGTAAAAAGGTGCTCTCTGTCCTCCTGGAGCCTCCTCACCACCATCCCTGCTTTGCTTAAAACCACAACCCACAGAAATCACTGAGAATCCAAAGAGCTCCAGTTTGAGCCAGGAGAGAAAAATTCAATGTTGGGGGGGAAAAAAATCCACCTCCAAGGGGGATGGGGAAGTGGAAAAAACAACTAAACTCCCCCCAAAAACAACCCCATGCCTGATTATAAACTGGGTTAAGAAAGCAGCTCCAACCTCAAGCCATAATCAAATATTTTATTGTCCAAAAAAATACATTTTACTTCTACAAAGCTGTGGGATATTTTGCAAGGATGTGCTGTGCAGGGATTTAGGACAGCCCAGAAATTCAGGTGGTGTTTTGAATTAAGAGTGGGAGGGGGACAGTGCAAGACACGAGCTGACAGAGTGAGCTCTCCCTCTGATCTTTGGTTCGTAAAAATGTATCAAGAAATGTAAAAAAAAAAACCCCAAAACCTACAAGTATCAGAAGTTTGCTGAGCCTTTAAAGAAATGCCAGGCCATTTGCTGCTTTAGACAAATTCAAATCTTGTAAATATATTTCTCCTTAATATCCCCCTTTTTCTCCACCTCAGGAAAGGGATCAGACAGCAAGTTCATCATCCCTGATTTTACTGAAGGGCATTTCAGAGATTTCTGCTGAGTGCAGAGACCTTGACTGAATATTTAAAGATTTGGTAAATAGCTGGGGAAAGGCAAAAAAAAAAAAAAAAGTCACCCCAAATATCAATTTTACAACGGTCTAAAAATACCCCCCTGTAACTTTTTTGGGCGTTTTAACCCCTTGTGGTTGGGTGAAACCTGGATGTGACACAGAGGGGACAAAAAAGAGGCAAAATACCCCCAAAATGAAGTGGTTTTTTTGAGGCTCTGGTGACTCCTGTCCCCTTCAGGCATCACGGAGATGCTGAGCCAGCTGCTCTCGGGCTGGGTGGCCGACCAGAACTGGACCAAGAAGTACCATTTCCACGTGACTTACCTGGTCCTGAGTGGGATCACCAACCTCCTGGGCCCCCTGGCCACGACATTCCCGCAGCTCCTCGCCTACACCGTGGCCTTTTCCGTGTTCTGTGGAGGGTTCATGGCTCTGGTGCTGCCCGTGCTGGTGAGTCAGGGGTGGGTTGTGCTGATCTGCTCCCAGTCCCAGAACCATCTGGAACACACAGGGATCAGTCATGGAAGGCTCCAAGGACTGGAGAACCTTTGCTCTGGAGCCAGGATGGGAGAGCTGGGGGGGTTCTCCTGGAGAAGGGAAGACTCCAGGGAGACCTTGAAGCCCTTTCCAGGGCCTAAAGGGGCTCCAGGAGAGCTGGAGAGGGATTTGGGAGAAAGGATGGAGGGACAGGACACAGGGAATGGCTTCCCACTGCCAGAGGGCAGGGAGAGATGGGATATTGGGAAGGAATTCCTCCCTGGGAGGGTGGGGAGGGGCTGGGATGGAATTCCCAGAGAAGCTGTGGCTGCCCCATCCCTGGAAGTGTCCAAGGCCAAGCTGGATAAACTTGGAACAACCTGGGCTAGTGGGAAGGTGTCCCTGCCCGTGGCACTGGATGAGCTTTAAGTTCCCTTTCCAACCCAAACCATCCCAGGATTCCATAATTATAATCTGGCATTTCTTTTCTGGGAAGGAATTCGCAGCTTAAATCACATTCCTTCTAGTCTTGTTTCTCTGGAAGGCACAAAAGCATCTCCCATCCCAGCAATTTCCATCCTGGCCTCAAGGAGGCAAAGGGATTCCAGGATTCCAGGTTGGATCAGACGCACAGGGGCAAAGTCCTTCCAAAGCTGCAGCTCAAGAGGAAACTCCCCAGGAAAAAAAAAAAAAGGAGAAAAAAAAATCAATTAATCTCTTGTGCTTTAAAACAAATCAATTAACCCCTTCTGCTTTTGTATTCCCACGAAATCCATCCCTGACGACCCGTTTTGGTTTACAAACAGGTGGATCTGGTGGGTGTGGAAAAGCTCCACAGTTACCTGGGGTTTGCTGCCTTCTTTGCAGGGATAGCAGCCATTGGAGGACCTCCTCTGGCAGGTAAATAATAAATATAATATAATTAATATAATATAATATAATATAATATAATATAATATAATATAATATAATATAATATAATATAATGTAATGTAATATAATATAATATAATATATAAAGTAACAAACATAAAAAGCAATATAAAGTATATTACATTATATTTATTATATTTATTATATTATATAATACAATAAAATAGAATATAATATATATAATGTAATATAATTTATTAGAATACACAATATATATTATACATTATATATTAGGCATTCTACATTATAAATGTCAATATTATGTATTCTTATACACCTACAATATTAAATATACATATGTTTTATAGTACCTATGCAATATAATATATATTACATTATGTTATATATATTTTATATTACCTATATTATATTTTTATATTATATATATTTTTATATTATATATATTTTTATATTATATATATTTTTATATTATATATTATATTTTTATATTATATATTTTTTAATATAATATGTGTTTATACACATGCCCCCACCACACACATCCAGTGATAAAGCTGCTGGTTCACTCTCCCACATGGATCCATCCCAGTTTTCGGTTCAAATAAGGGGGAAAAAAAAAAATCCTATTTCAGGAATGTCTTTACACCCAGGCAACATCTCGCTGGGGAACCTGCAAACCCCAACCAGCAGCTTGGAAAACGTGCCCAGTTTAACCCCAACCACAGCAGGATAACGACCCCATTCCCATGGATTTTACCCCCTAGCAGGGTAGGAATTAACACTGAATTGGGACTGGAGGGCAGGGAAGGAGAGGAAGGCGAAGCAGGGATGGGCTTGGCAGCATTCCCATAAAACAGAGGCTCTGGAGCACCAGGAGAAGCCTCAATAACCTCTTGGTTGGTGACAGATCCCAGAGCTGGGCCCTGAGAGCTCCTGGTCCCTAAGACAAGGAGGATGAGAAGCTTTTCCCCTTCTCCCTCTGCCAGGAAAACAGGGCACTGGGGAGGATCTGGCACATCCCAAGCTCTTAGGAGTGACTCTCCCACCCCTGCCTGGGAGCAGGGGAATTGTTGGGAGCAGAGGAATTGTTGGGAGCAGGGGAACTGTTGGGAGCAGGGGAATTGCTGGGAGCAGGGGAATTGTTGGGAGCAGGGGAATTGTTGGGAGCAGGGGAATTGCTGGGAGCAGGGGAATTGTTCTCCTCCAAACTGCTTGGCCAGAGCAGAGCTTTTCCTGCCCCTGGGACATTTGCCTCTCCCTGCATTTTCCAGCCCAAAAAAATCCCACAGTGTGGGCAGCAGGATGGGGGGGATTTTGCCCCTCTGCCCCCTCAGGTGAGACCCCACCAGCTCTGGGAACAACAACAGGAGGATGTGGAGCTGCTGGAGAGAGTCCAGAGGAGGCCCTGGAAATGCTCCAAGGCTGGAGAACATTTGCTCTGGAGCCAGGCTGGGAGAGCTGGGAATGTTCCCCTGGAGAAGGGAAGGTTCCAGGGAGACCTTGGAGCCCTTTCCAGGGCCTGAAGGGGCTCCAGGAGAGCTGGAGAGGGATTTGGGACAAGGGATGGAGGGACAGGACACAGGGAATGGCTTCCCACTGCCAGAGGGCAGGATCAGATGGGATATTGGGAAGGAATTCGGTGGGGAGGGACTGGAATGGATTTCCCAGAGGATGCTCCACCCCTGGAAGCATCTAAGGCCAAGCTGGATAAACTCGGAGCAACCTGGGCTAGTGGGAAGGTGACCCTGCCCGTGGCACTGGATGAGCTTTAGGGTTCTTTCCGACCCAAACCATCATTTGTTGCCTCCTGCCCCTCCAGATCTCCGGGCCTGCCAAGGCCCCTGGCTGGAAACTGCCAAGGATTCCGTAAATCCCAACTCCAGGGGAAGTTTTAGCAGGGAAAAAAAAATTGATTTTCCTACTCTGCCTGTGGATCCAACTTCAAGCAGCCCAAACGTTCCCCTGGACAGGGTGATGAACTGCCTGGCACGGGATGAATTCCCAGCAATCCCTCAATCCCACTGAATTCCCTGCCACGGGATGAATTCCCAGCAATCCCTCAATCCCACTGAATTCCCTGCCACGGGAAGAGCGTGGAAGGAGCTGAATGACTTGGCTGCCTCTCACTGCAGTTTTATCTCCATCCCCTCGCAGTGTATTTTCATTAACTGGGAGGCTTTTGCTTCCTGAAGTGCTGCATTCCTGGATTGTGGAAAACAAGGTTTCCTGCAAAAAAAGCCTTTTTTTTGTTTTGTTTTTTTTGTTTTGTTTTTCTTTTCCCTCACCTTTTTTTTAAGGTTTTTTCCAGATTTTTAAGAAATCTGGCTTTATGCTGGTGGGATAAAGGAAGGCCAAATAGAGCCAGGAAATAAAACTCTCACTGATCCGCCCAGAGGGGAACGATTGAGAGTTCAAGATCCAGGTTGTTTATTAATTCATTTATTAATTTATTATTCAGTTCTTAATTTATCCAAATAAATTCTCCCATTTTCTCTCCCAGTAATGCTGGGTTAGGCATGAAAACTGAATATAACCAGAAGCTACTGATGAAGTGCCCAAGCCCAGCTGGCCCCTGCAGGGTTTAGGATTTGGGGTTGGGTGCTCTGACCTCTCTAAACCTTTAAATTTAGGATTTTATTAAACTCAAGTGATTTTATGAAGCAAAACCTGATGGATAATGAGAACTGCAAAGGTTAAAATGGTTTAAAATATTGAAATAATACAATATAAATATATACTACAAAATAATAATTATTTTAATAATATAATGTAATATAATACAATAATAATGTAATATAATAATGTAGCATAATATGATAATAAATAATAAATATAATAATAAATAATAAAATAATATATAAAAATATATAATATAATTTCAAATATATAATATATAGTATAACATTATGTAACAATACACAATATCAAATACATATTGTTATATATTATACTATAAAATTTTAACAATGATTAAATCTAAAATATACTCTACAAACTATATAATTTATAAAAATATTCATAAAACACAAAATATTTGTAAATACTTATAAAATATAAAAATACAAAAATGTAAATTTGTTTAAAAAATTTTTAGATAGTTATAAAATTTTCTTAAAATTTATAAAAATATTTATAACAGTATTATAAAAACTATAAAATATATAAAATATTACAGATAAAATAAGTGTATTTTAAATAAATATTTAAAATATTATTATATTGCATATTAGACCAAAGCCTAAAGCAAGGAAAAGGTGACTTACCTGCAAATGTGATCAGCTCAAAGCCCAGGGGGAAAAGTTTGGACTCTCCTTTGGAGCTTTCCATCCACCAGCACCACTGAAAGAAACCCTTAAACCAAATCAGAACATTATTTTGGCTCATTTTATTTCCACAAACAGTGCAAACCATTAACCCAAAGTGCAAAAGAATCGAATATAATGTAATATAATATAATATTACCGAAGAAAAACTGAAGAAAACTGAATTAAACTGGGGCACAAGAAAAAAAAAAAGGCTGGAGAAACGAGGAGTTCACAGCCCAAGATGTTGGAAAAACCATTGCTGAAAACATCCATTGGGATCTCCCCTGCTGGAAACATCCATTGGGATCTTCCCTGCTGGAAACATCCATTGGGATCTTCCCTGCTGGAAACATCCATTGGGATCTTCCCTGCTGGAAACATCCATTGGGATCTTCCCTGTTGGAAACATCCATTGGGATCTTCCACCTGCTCAGGCAGCTCCTTTTGGCCCATTTAAACTTGGGGGGGGGGGTGTGGAAAAAAAAAAAAAATTGGGGCTTAAATTCAATCCAATTAAACCCCATTCCCACTCCAAGGATCAAAGTCAGCCCTGGGAAAAAAGACACGTTTAGTCCTGACTGGAAACGCTGCCCAGGAGGATCTTAAATAACTGAGAAATACTGAAACAAGATCACACAAGCTATGCCTGCCTCCCACCACCTCCCAAAAATGATTTTTTTTTGTTTGTTTTGTTTTTTCTGCAGGGAGAGAAATCCCAGAGCTTTTAAAACCCCAACTTTTGTCTTCCTTCAGGTTGGCTCTACGACTACACCCAGACCTACGTGTGCTCCTTCCTCTTTGCCGGCGCCTGCGCCCTCGTCTCGCCCCTGTCCTTCTGCCTCGAGCCCTGGGCACAGGAATGGAAGCTCAAAAAAGCCACTGCGAGCCCCAGGTCTGGCTGAAGGTTTGAAGGCTGGGCTGGAGTTGTGTCCACAAAAAGGGAGAAGCCACGGCCAGCACAGCCCGGCTGTCCCGGGAGATACCGAGTGGGAAGCGGGATTTTTAGACGGGGAGATTGAGTTTGGATATCTGGATATTGCTCCTGATCAGATTCTGGGTTTATACCTGGATATTGCTCCTGATTAGATTCAGTTTGAATATCTGGATATCATTAGATTGAGTTTGGATATCTGAATATTGCTCCTGAGCAGATTCAGTTGGATATTTGGATATTGCTCCTGATCAGATTCAGTTGGATATTTGGATATTGCTCCTGATTAGATTCAGTTGGATATTTGGATACTGCTCCTGATTAGGTTCAGTTTAAATATCTGGATATTGCTCCTGATCAGATTCTGGTTTTGTATCTGGATATTGCTCCAGATTAGATTCAGTTTGAATATCTGGATATCATTAGTTTGAGTCTGGATATCTGGATATTGCTCCTGATCAGATTCTGGTTTTATACCTGGATATTGCTCCTGATTAGATTCAGTTTGAATATCTGGATATTGCTCCTGATCAGATTCTGGGTTTATACCTGGATGTTTCTCCTGATTATCTTCACTTTTTGTATCTAGATATTTCTCCTGACTAGACTCAGTCTGGATATCTGGATATTGCTCCTGATCAGATTATGTTTTTGTAGCTGGACATTTTCCCTGATCAGATTTAGTTTGGCTATTCAGATATTTCCCCTGACTGGATTCAGTCTGGATATCTGGGTATCAATAGATTCAGTCTGGATATCTGGATATTGCTCCTGATTAGATTCTGTTTGGGTATCCAGGTGTTTCTCCTGATTATTCCCTGTCTGGATATCTGGATATTTCTCCTCATTAAAGCCACCTGAGAAATTCACAGTGTAAAGTGTCATTTGATGGCAGAAAAACAAGACCCTTGCACCTTGGCTGTCACTGCCTTTGCTCCTGAGCTGCTCGGATTGAATCCCGGTGTGTCCATCCCGACACTTCCCAACCTGAGCCATCCCTCGGCTTCCTGAGCGTTCCCAGGAGCAAAGCTGAGTCACCTCTTGGGATGTGGTGGCCAAAGAGCACAGAGAGATCTCAGCTCCTTCTGTTTTACACAGGAACAACAAGCCGTGGGGAGGGATCCAAGGATGGGGAGATGGGGCTGATAATTCCATCAGGATACAGATTCCTTCTCCCACAGGAAGGGCACGGCTTTTCCATCTCCCAGGGGCTGCTCTTTGCCACAGCACAGAGGACCTGCAGGCAAAACCAGTCTAATTAAACCAGAGACCAAACCCCACCTCAGCCTCCTCTGCCCTTCCCCACCCACCCAGAGATTCCCTGGATTCCAGGCAGCTCCAATGCTGAGCCTGTATTTAACCAGCATCCCATTAATCTGATTTTGAATTAAATAACAGCTGCTTTGACTTCCTTTCTAGTAGCAAAGGGGCAGTTTTTTGCATTGTTATTGTTGTTTGAAATTATTCTGTTGGCCTGGGATATCACAGGATTCATTCCAGCCACTGGCATTAACCTTCTTTCCTGCCCCCCCCTTTTTTCTTTAATTATTAAATTGCAAAGAGATTTAATTATCCTTTTTTTTTTCTCACACTTGTTTTTTTTCCCTCATCCCTTTTTT